CATCAAAGTTGGTCATGTCAGCCTTCCACTTAAAATACTCTTGAACAGCACCACCAAAATCTCTTGCAGCCTCATTTGAAGTAAAGCAATGTTTCTCTCCGGCCCTGTTGCATGTGACTCTAAACTTTAGAACTTCAGGCTCAGTTTCTTCTTTTGAGCTTTCATCGGTCTCATCTTTGCAAGATGCCAAATCATCACCTACTAATGTTGGTATTTCCTCTTTGATGGCTGGATTTTCATAATAATCTAAGATATATGAATCTAAAGCACTGTTAGTAAACTCTTTCTTAATCTCTCTCTCATCTGTTTTGTCTCCTTGTCCATTATCAATCTTCCCTTTACTTGAATTCTGCTTTATCTTTTTGCGCTTTGTTTTCTTTTTCTTAAAACTGGTATTAATTTTCCACACTTTTAAAGGGTTTGACCATGGGAGTTTTCCAGCCAAGTCTTCCAAATCCTTAAGAACTTCTTCCTTTGTTTTTTTGAACTGGTAATCTTGAAACTCCTGAACAACCACAAATAAGTTATCAACTGACCTCAGACAGTGAACCTGAGCCAGACTTTCCACTGAAATGACAAAATATATCTTGCCGCGGTCTCTGCTGATTTTGCATGATGACCCCAATTTCTCTCTCACTTCATCTGCAGCTGTTTGCTCAAAGCCTGTAGGTACAGTGGCTCCAATAGTGACTAGAAGTTCAGACTCACTTCCGAAGTCACTTTCTGTCACTTGTACACATCTCCGATTCTCATGAAGGTTCACATCTTGGAGCTGGTTAATGGATTCTTGGATGTCAGACATGTTGGTAGTGCTTTTAAGATTCCTAACACAGTCCCGGCCGTCAGTGTAGACCTGGCACTCGGTCGGCTTCGCGCTCTCAGGTCACGCAGCCGGAAGCCCTTTTCCATTTATTTTTAAGAAGTATTTATCATAGGTGATGCTTGAGTCTTCAGGGAGAATTATTTTTATTTTTTCTAGAACAGTTCTTTATTATCACATAGACAGATTACTTGGGAAACAAATTATTTTACAGGAATGAACTTTTAATTTATGTTTTCATAAAGTAATAAATTAATTTTTGAAAGAATATCAAGGGGGAAAAAACTTCTTAGTTTCTGATCTTTCGTTTCACTATGACTAGACTTGGTCAGGTTAGAACTAAACATTGTGGTTATCTGCAGACTAAGAGTTGATCAGATTTCTCTTGATTAAAAAAGCAAAACGTGTTTATTTAGAAGAGTCTAGCCAGTCAGAATGAAGCTCAGATTGCCAGTCATGAAAGAGTTGGGTGATATAAACATGACTTTTTAAAATTACTGTAGTGAGGAAAAGGGAAGGGCACAGCATCTCCTACATGCCACAGATGTGCACTTAATTTTCATTACTTTGACTATTGAATGTAAATGACATGTCACTCAATTCAATATATTCAGAGACTTGAAGTTCATGAGAACCTTTCAGCAAAGTGAATTATTTTATTTGGGAAATTCAAGAGCAATACGTATTGAAGTACTGATTTTATTCTCATTCCTATAGAAAATAAGAAAAATCATTTTCCTCACAAGTATCATAGTAACACATCCACCTGGGTTCTTGCTCCCATCTGGTCTCAAAAGGCTCCAAAGAAAAACATACTTGTAATAGTAGAAACACAAGCCAACATTTCATCAGAAGACTTGGAAAATAGGGCTTCCTTTATTATTTGCAATATCCTTGTGAATTACAGGTACAAGCGTTTCTTCTTTTAAAAAAAGCAGCAGTCTGCAGCATTTTAGAAGCATAAATCTTGTTATGCTGCTATGCCTTAAAGTGAAAAAATTCTTTCCAAACTCTGAGTTAGAAATCAAGTATGCATTGAAAGTATTTATATAGAACATGTCACAGAGGAAAAATCCAATAAATATATGTTAAAATGTATGTGTGCTTTAAATCTAAATCTGCTTTGTTTATTTTGTAAATTTATATGATAGCATAGTTTTGATATTTAACTTCACTTCTCTGAATAAGATGTCTATATTGCTTACATAAAATTCTTGATTTTTAAATAACATTATGTAGGGCTTTTCATTATGGAAAATGTGAAAGTGAACTTTTTTCATTCCTAAAATTCTACTATGCACAGAAACTCTTTCCATTTTCTATTCTTTATCTCTCCTCCCATATATATGTTTATATATGTAAACATATAACATATAATAACATAATATGCAATATATAATATATATGTAAATGTTGGTTAATTCAATATTTTTTATATTATTAGAGCTATTTATAGGATAGTCTCAGCTAAATGATATAGTATATGCATAATGATTAATTTGTCTTTCTTATGTAATTTTTATCTGCCTAGGATAATTAGTTTAATTGATTAGTTCATATTAGATTAGTTTTCTGTGTATCAGTCACCCAATCCTGAGGTCCATGGATTGTCTCACTCTCTTCTCCATATATTCAGATATGTCAGGTATTCTATCAATCTGTCTTGGGACTAGTCTGACCTGGTATACAGGAATTTTTTTTTTTTTTTTTTTGCATACCTATCATATGGCTCTCTCGTCACCATTCTCCTGGGTGTCTTCTTTGATTTGTGCTTGTGCTAAAACCCTTGTTTCCTATAGTTGATATCTTCCTTCATTTTGGGTTACTCTTTCCTTTTTAAGGAGTACATCCTCCAATAGCTTCCAGAGAAAAGATTCCAAAAAAGTAATATTTTGTGATTTTGCTGGTTGAAAAAAAATGAATTTATTTGATTCTCACAGGACTAAGGGTTTGTCTTGGTATACAAATTCTAGGCTAAAGTTTTTTCACTGAGTTTTTAATTATGCTACTCTTACTCAGGTAACTTGTTATCTCTCACACATGGATTATTGGGGGCTGAATATGGGATCATTTGCTTCTTAAACTAACTTTCAGTTAATCCATTTGTTGTTAGCTACTTATTTATTTGCCCCTCCAGAGGTACCTGTTGTAGCTAATTCTTATGTTAGTTGGGGTTCTCTGGTTTAAATGTAATCGCTTCAGGAGTCCAGCAGGCGAGGCTGCGGTGGCCGGGAGCGGCCACTGCACTCCAGTCTGGGCGACAGAGTGAGACTCCAACTCAAAAAAAAAAAGAAAAAAAGAGAGAGAAAGAGAAGGAAGAAAGAAGATTCACCTCCCTAAGGTGGAGGAGAGGGACCAAAGCCAGGAAGCATGGCGACAGCCATGGCTCAAAGAGCACATGACCACACCAGACTCTAGCAAGGTAATGGCTGAGAACTCTTTTTTTCTTTTTTTTTGAGTTGGGAGTCTTACTCTGTCACTCATGCTGGAGTGTCGTGGCCTGGTCATGGCTTCCTGCAGCCTAAACCCTCTGGACTCAAGCAATCCTCCCACCTCAGCCTCCCACATTGTTGGGATTACAGATGTGAGCCACTGTGCCCGGCCTGCATGTGGAACTTTGATAAGTGGAATCATGGGACAAATTATGAAAATAGAATATATAGCCTGAAAGTAGAATGTGGACCTAAATACCCAGAAGCTCCTCCATCAGTTAGATTTGTAACAAAGATTAATATGAATGCAATAAATAATTCCAGTGGGATGGTGGATGTACGGAGCATACCAGTGTTAGCAAAATGGCAAAATTCATATAGCATTAAAGTTGTACTTCAGGAGCTAAGACGTCTAATGATGTCCAAAGAAAATATGAAGCTTCCACAGCCTCCAGAAGGACAAACATACAATAATTAATTTTAGTGGATCTCAAACTTGTCTTAAATCAGCAATCTTTTACTCATGTTAATGTCTTGATTAAATATCACAATGCGAAATACCCACACATTAAGTAAAAGAATTCCAGCTGGTAAACATGACCTGGACATTTGTAAGAATATATTTAATATATGTACACCCATTATGTTTTCAGGTAACAGGAGGAAAAATGTGGCATACTTTTTTTTCTCTTGTTAAGGCACTGTCATTTAAACATAAGCCTGGAGTACCCGAAAGAGAATTAAGGTTTACAAGATGAAAGCGTAGTGAGAAGTGTCAGCTGGCAGTGGAAGCATGTGTGTTTCTGAAAAGTAAAAGTCTCAAGAAAAAAAACAGAAGTGGCAGGCTTTATCCATCTTGCTTTGTGAAAGAGCTGCAGTTGAAATTGTTTAAAGTGGCAGGTATAATGAATATTGTCATAAATGTTAATTTTTGAAGCGGTGTGGGTGCTGACTACTAGTACTATCAAAAATATGTTCAGGATTGTTTTGATACCTGTATTTATAATAAAAAATGTTGGGGGATTGATGAATTTCTGTCAAAAGCTATTCCTGTGTGTTACATGTAACAGACATGGTAAATATTTGTTTACAGTCTTTGTTTAACAAACCATGCGTTTAAGTTTAAGTGAAGTAAACATAAAGGAAATAGGTGTATGGATATATGATTTTGAGATTAAAGTTAGTCTTAAAATGTAAAAAAAAAAAAAAATGTAATTGCTTCTCAGCTTTCCCAGTGACCACTAAGAATTCAGATTTCTTGGGCTTACTAATTAATTACCACTCATTCATTTATTTTCCATATTCCAAAGTGTTATTCTTTCCTTCTGTTTTGTTTATTCTATAGACTATAATTTTTTAAAAAATTTGAAATACTTTATTTTTAGAGAAGTTTTAGGTTTAAAGAAAAATTGAACAGAAAGTACTGAAAGTGCCTATATCCACCCTCTCACTCACTCCCACAAAATTTCCCTTATTATTAGCATCTTGTATTTGTTACAATTGGTGCGCTAACACTGATAAACTATTACTAACTACAGTTGTATAGTTTACATTAATGTTCCCTTTTTGTGCTGTACACTCTATGGGTTTTGATAAATGTTTAATGGTGTGTATCCATCAATATATTATCATAGAGAAAAGTCTCACTGCACCAGAAATTCTCTGTGTTCCACCTGTATATTCCTCCAACTCCCTGGCAACAGCTTTTTATTGTCTTCATTTTTTTTCCCCAAATGTCATATAGTCAAAATCATATGATACATAATCTTTTCAGGTTGGCTTCTTTCACTCAGTAATATGTATTTAAGATTCTTCCATGACTTTTGGATAGCTCATTTTTTCTTTTTTTATTCATATTATTTTTAATTAATAAATCATAATTGTATACATTTACAGGGTACAATGTGATATTTTGATATATGTATACAATGTGGAATGATTAAATCAAACTAATTATATTATTAACTTTGTTTACTTATTATTTTTACAGTGAAACATTTTCAGTTTATTTTCAATTTTTATTTTTTGTTTTTAATGATTATAGATACATAATAGTCATAAATATTTATGGAGTGCATGTGATATTTGATAAAAGCAAACAATATGTAATGATCAAATCAGGGCAATTGGGGTATCCACCACCACAAATATTTATAATTTATTTGTGCTAGAACCATTGCAATTTCATTCTTTTATTTATTCTTTTATAATATTAAAGAAATTGTTGTTCACTGTAATCACCCTATCATGCTACTGAATACTAGATCTTATTCTTTCTATCTAACTACATTTCTATAACCATTAACAATTAACTCTCAGTTAATTTGAAATTTATAATATGTTATTATTGGTTGTAGTCACCCTACTGTGTGATACATCTCAAAACTTATTTTATCTGTCTATCAGAAACGTGTACCCTTTGACACACTACTCCCCATTCCATCCCCATCCTCCACACTAACCCAGGAGATTGATGGTGCTGCTAAGTTCAACTATAACATTACTCATTTTTTGCCTGCTGAATCCATCCATTTCTGATAAAAGCATGTTAAGGTCTGTGACTATCATAGTAGATCCATCTATTTCTCCTTGCAGTTCTATAAGTTTTTACCTCATCTATTTTACCGCACTATTGTTGGTGC